AAAATTTTAATAAATGTATTCTTAATATGTATTTTAAGAGTATAAAACAAAAAAATTTTTAAAATAAAAAATATAATTATTAAAATTTAATGGGGAAAATACAAACTTTTTTTATATGTAGTTAAAATATCAATTTAATCTCTCAATTTTCACATTTTGACTCAAATTATTATTAAACTTTAAAAAATATCAAAATTATTTCTAAACTTTAATTTTTGGTATTAAAATAGCCCTGAACTTTAATTTTCAATACTGATTTAATTCTTAAACTTTAAAAATAAATATTAAATTAAACTTTAAATAAAAACTTTAAAAATATATTAGATTATATAATAATGAAATGGTGTTTTAATATTAGGACTCTCTTTTATCTAACTACATTTGTTTGCAACATGTTAATTAGTGTTATTGGCATTTGCATAGCTTCTCTCTAATTTGACAAATCTTATTATGAATTATACAAAATAAATAGACATTTCACTTTATATATCTCATTTAGCATCTCCTATCTTCTATATTCACTTAACTTCATTTAAAATTTCATTAAAATTTCATTAATTATATTTATGGAACTACCACATTTAGAAATTGGTATATTCATAGAACTAGTATATTTATAGAACTATCTAGTTTTGATCAATATTTTAATTAATTTCCCTTTATGAATCTACTTAAATTCATTCATTGATTTATATAGTACTTATTCTTCCTTAACCTATGCATAGGCTTGTATTGCATGAAGAAGATACCGTAACCGAAACGGAAGAGTGAATGAAAGAATAAAAAGCATATATATATATATATATATATATATATATATTTATTTATCTCTTCTTGTTTCATTCTCTTACTTTATTTTTACACATATTCTTACTTCCTCATACTCAAGAATTACTCATTTTATAACAGAAAATTATTTATTTTAAAAATAAATTCTTTATTCATAACTTAAAAAATTTATTAAGTAAAAATTGAAAATTATCATTTATAATAACTTTTATATAAATTTTTAAAAAATTTTAAATACATCATTTTCTCAAAGTTACTTAAATGTTACTTTAAAAATTCATTTTTAAATTTCTTTGCACCATTTTTAGATATATAAATAAAAGTTTACTTCTAAAAAAATTGTTTTTTAAATTTTATCAATCACCTTCAATATCCATAGATGCCTCTTAATGACATCTTCATTGACTTGCCTGCATTTGAAAGTTGTCCCTACTCGTTTTCTACCCCGATTATAAGAAACGGTTAGGTTTGCACCTTTTATAATTTCTTTTTCTGTCAAGCACGCAGGTATGCCATCTACTTCTTCAATCTTGATATCCTCTTACGTTCTCTGTTGAGAGTTCACATGCGCATTTAGATATATTAATTCTACGTAAGTATAGCATGAACTAAACGCATCTTGCCCTCAAAAGAAGGGGTCATCAGTCAAATTATTCTTACTAAAGTTTGTCTGTGTTTAACAGCTAGTGGCATGAGTTTTTGAACATCATCTGACGAAGTTTGTAAGTATGGTTAATTACATAGTTTTGGTCCTATTGCTAGAGCACCTTTTTAATTTATTTCTAAACTTCATATGGTAGATCAAAAACCATACTTGGTGAAGCTTCGGTTTGAGAAGGCAAGCGGTGCTTTTTTGTCTGTCTGTGTGGGAAACATGGTATGAAGGTGAGAGGCTTCTCTTCCCGTCGCATGGCTGATTTTTCTTTCCTATTAGGTTTATGTTTTATTGCTTATTAGGTGATTTATGGTTTTTAATTCTTATAAATTTTACAATATCAAAGAAAATAATTGTTTAATGTGTTATTCTTCAATATATTATTATGACTCTTAAATCCCTTCTCTCTTCTAATCTTCTATCATTTCGATAATTTAAAATAATTAAAGGAATTAAAAGCAAAAAATAAAGTAAAGGGCTTTTGTCTCCCTTTCATTCTCTACTTTTTTGGTAACGAAATCAAGTAATTATCTGTCCCCTGCTCAAATGCTCAAATCAAATACACCTTTGTTGTTAATGTTAAAATTCGTCTGAAATGAAATTTAATTACATATCTTTTAAAAGTTTGAGAACTATATTGTAATAAAATCATTAAACTTAGGGACTGAATTGATTAAATCTGAGGTTTGAGGTTCAAAGAGCACAAGAATTGAAAGTTAAGGGACAAGCTGTGTCATTTTACCATTAAAATTTGGAGAATTTTAATGGGTCGATAAACGGCGTTACGAACTTACGACGTCCCATCAATGGAGGGTTGCGGCTTGGTAGCGGCTTCGTACTTTCTCCCAACTTTAGGAATATTTATGACTTATTTTAAAGTAAAAGGATGATAATAACTATTTTTGAAAAGTTGATGGATTTTTAGTGACATTAAGTTAAAAATAAATGAGTAATTCTTTCATGTTTAAAATATTGAGTAGTGATATAAAAATAATTTTTTTGCATAATTTTATATATAAAATTTTTATGTTATTAAATGAATATCTATATTTAATGTTATGAACCCTAAATAAATAAAAAGAGTCAAAATTTTAAATAATATGTAAAATTATACTAAAAAATAATAAAAAATTTATCTTTTGAATTATTTTCCTAAAGTATTTATTTATTGTAGGTCTATTAATTATTACATCGGCAACTCCCGTTAGCATTTAACGTCCCATTCTCAAGGAAGGCCTGTAGGTGAACAATTTAACAAAGGTTGAGGATGGGGGAGGAGGGCTTGCTTTAAATAAATGTTAAGAATGAAAGTGTCCCATATCATAAAGATTAGGGACTAAAAGGAAATTTACCCAATAATTAATTTTAGATTAACTATCAATTTTGATCCTCAACACTAAGATTTTGCTTCCTCTTTTTTTTTTTTTTTCTCAACCATCTTTTGTGCACTTTAATTTCTCAATTTTAAAAACTTCACAATTTTAGTATTTGTGTCAATTGATTACTGTTAATTCAATTCACGTGGGCTTTTTTTTATTGGTTTTAATGACATGAATAATGCAATTAATAAAAGATACTTACATGAACTAAAACTCATGCCAACTATTTTTTTGTTTTTTTGAATAAATTTACGAAGAATCAGATTCGAACAATTGTCCTAAAACTAAAAGATACATTTATACATAACTTACGTCACTGAACCTGAAGATCCAAGTGCCATGCCAACTATTTAATGATAGGTTAAAAATGGAAACCCACTCAATGACATTCGAAATTAATGTTTATTTATCTTAATTAAAATATAAAAGTAGGTCCCATTCACATGTACCTTATTTGATTAAAATTAATAAAAATTCTCGGACCCCACCTTTAATATAACTTTTGCCCTCAAGTGAAATTATAGTCTTGCCCCCTTCATTTCTTCATTCCCAGATCGAAGATTCCCGAAAGGTCGAATACAAGAAGCAACCAAACTCCAAACCATAATCAATTGTCGTTTAAACCTACATTTTAATTGTCAATCACAACTGAAGAGGAAAGAAACAAAAATCTAAATTAATTCTTAAAGCCTATGGATTTAACAACCTTAAACAAACCCATATGTGAGCCCAAAAAATCGAGGTTTGCAAATCCCTGAAATGAATCTAAAGATTAGCTGGTAGCTTCAGTGGAAATGGAGGAAGGGAGGGCAAGGAGGGAAGAAGTGTTTGAACAAAATTCAGATAGATTACATGCGAACTCAAATTCGGGTTCATTCAAATCCAACTCATTTAGGTTCCACATGAACCTAGATCCAAGTGGGTTCATAAATCCAAATTTGCTGGGTTTGATGAAAGGGGATGCAAAGGAGAGGGGAAGAAAGAAGCGGATGGACGATCGGAGAAGGTAGAAGGGAGGGGTATGAAGAACAAATTCGTAAGAACCCAGAATTTTGGGTTTTAAAACCCATAAATCTGGGTTTGTACGAACCTAGATTTGGGAAGAATGAGAAAAGGAAGGGAGAAAGGGAAAGATGAAAGAGAAAAAGAAACAGATTGGAGAAGGTACAAGGCAGAAAGTGCTAGAGAAAAGAGAGGGAGGAGGAGGAGGAAAAGCTGAATGATGGAGTTGAGGAACATGAATGGAGAAAGAGAAGGGGATTGGGGGAAAAGGATGAAGATGATAGGCGTATAAGACTATAAGTGTAATTTTAAAAAATATTTTTAATATTAAATATAAATTTATTTAATCTGTACCTTTTTAAAATACAAGTTAAAAATACAATAAATATAACTTTTTATAATTAATTTGCATTAAATATGATAAAAATTGATATATATTTTAACATTATTTACATATGAATAATTTTAATTAATTAACTGATTAAATCACACTTGGACCCTGTGACGTCAGGCAATGTATAAGTGCATTTTCCTACTTCCAGGGCAACGTTTGAATCCGATTCTTTACGAATTTGTTAAAAAAAAAATTAATTGGTTAAATCAAATTCAATATTTTTACATTTAATCAAAATTAATTATAAAAAAATATATTTATTTTACCCTTATTTTATGCTTTAAGGCCACTGAATAAAAAATCCATTAAATAATTATAATGAGTTTGAAAATCTGACTTGGTTTTTTTTTTTCTTTTTTATCCAGATAAGCTAGTATGAGGTGTTATTACACCTCATAAAAAAATGTCATCTTAGAATGGATTTAATAGCCATGTTCGCACTTAACTAATAGAAGATTAAAATTATGTATTTTTTAAAGTTAAGAGATTAAAAAAGTACATAAAATTATTGAAGAATGAAAAATATGTAAAGTACTAAAGTTAAGGATTAAAATTTACATTTAATTTTAATTTTATAGGATTTATTTATCCTCTATCTTGTGAATTTAGGTTAAAAA